TGGGCACCAGGCTCACGGCACAGCGCCTGCCCAGCCCAGGGAGGACAATCCCTTGCTGAGCTGGTGCATTCCAGTCGGGAGCTCCGCTCACATGTCTGCTGGCCTGGCTCTCCCCCTCTTCCGCGCCTGGGGCCTGGCACAACACTGCAAATTCCCGCCTCTGGGATCAACAGCAACAGATTATTTCCCTAATTCCCCCACGCATTGCTACTCCAAGCGCCTTGCCCAGAACAGTCTCGCCCAGCGGCAACAGGGTCCCAGCCCCAGCTCTGACCCATTCCTCCCTCCCAGCGCACAGTGAGATGAGCAGCACGCTAATCGCCCCCAGCTCATGCCAGAATGCGGGAAACCACTGCCGGGAAGAGGCGAGCAAAGCCCGGACATTGCTCAACATCTCAGCCCGGGCAGAGGTGTGGGGCCTGAGCGGGGCAGAGTGCTCTGGGTTTGCGAGTAAGGGACGGAGGGGAGCCCCTGGACTGGAGATCCAGCACCAGCTGCAGGCTGGGCTACAACCCAAACCCCAACAGAAGGCTGCAGGGGCCTGTCCCAGCTCCCTCCAGCCCTCTTATTCCCCTACGGCTGTGCAGGACTGAGTCCTCCAGGTCTAACGCCTCTTTCCCAGAGGGGTCTTGTCCCAAAGCGGGGCTTCAGACAGGGCAGGAGGTCCCAGCCACCCCAGGGCACGATGGCCGCTCACCACAGGTGAGCTGCATGCACCAAGACAAAAACAGCCCTTTTGGTTGGTTTGGTTTTTCCTCAGTACGTTTATTTTGGTTATGTATTACCCAGATTAAGAGAAAAAACAGGAGTTGAAAAGCAGTTTCCCTTTAGTATCACAGTACACCGAGCCTTGCCCCAGCCTGGCCGGGGGACTGCCCTCAACCTGAGCTCCCAGGGCCGGTGGCCAACCCAACACCGTCGTTGCCACCTGGTGGCTACTGCAGAAAGCGCTGCTGAGCTCCGGGAGCCCCCCAGCTCCAGCTGGCACAGGCCCCGGCCCAAACCCTGTGCCCCAGGGCCTCCGGCAGGGAGGCTCCTGCCCACACCGGGCACAGCATGCACAAGCTCCCCAAGGCGCCGAGAGCAGGCAGAGGGCCCTGCGCCTCCTCTGTTCCCTCCCAGGAGGGGGGGAAAAAAAATAAATACAGGGGAAAAAAAATACAAAAAAGTTTATTGCAAACTACTACAATAATTTATTGAAGCAAACTGCATGCGAGTGAAGGAGAGACATTAAAGGGAGGAGGAGCTGCAGGAGGGCTGTGTCAGTTTTAGGGTTTCAAATGGGAGTGGGAAGGGAGCTACACCAGTCTCTCCTGCATCAGGGGTTAGCAGGCTGTAGTTAGAGGACAGACAGGCAACTGACTGAGACCAGAAAAAGAAAAAGGAGAGCTACAAGAGGTGTGCATGGAAGGACAAGGTGGGGAGCGGCAGGGATCAGAGGTGTCCGGGCTGGGAAGCAAATGAGCTGCTCAATTCTGCATCCCAGAAATGCGGCCAACGGCAAACTCTGCTCTGCTCGGTTGGGGCAGACGCAGGACAAGGCAGCCTCCCTCACCTCCCAGCCAGGTGCCAAGCGTTGCATGACCAGAGGCGAGCAAGCCTTTTGATTCAAAAGCATTTTAGTGCTATCCCTCAGAAAACAAAATCCCGAGCTCTCCGTTTAGTGTTCTGTGCAAGGCTCTGCCCACTCTGCACCTCCCACGGGGCACAGGGGCAGGGCACAAAAAGCAGCTCCAGCAGCACAGTCTGCAGCAAGCATGGAGATGACGAGGCCAACCCGCACCACACAAGCACATCTGCTACCGGTGGC